CTGCTCAAATTTACTCCCTGGGTTTGCTGGAGACACGCTACAATATCCTTGTTGTTAAAGGTATACATTACGTCACACATAATACGGTTGAACGGATTTGTCTAAGAAGTTTGAGTCGGAAATACCTAAAGCCTGTAATATTGTGTAAAACCTTACATTTTGTTGTGTAGAATTCCATTTTAAATCTTTCTTCAATGGTAACATTATGAACATCGACACATAATTGTCTACAAGACGAGCTTTATATAGTGTGTTTGGCAGGGTGCCGTGTTCCTCGTCAGAGCCGAATGGGTAATATACCATGCCAAAGAAATATATTAAATTATAAAATCGCCATACAAAAAACTATTGAAATGGTCATGATGAAAAATGACTGGCTACCCTATTTATTATTCTGCACTTGAATTGGAATGAGACCGCGACATCATATACAGTATATATGCTTTGGCAAATCCAAGGTGTTCTTTTTCAGCAGTGCTGTTTGAAATGTATTGCCGCAGCTTCTTTATCATTTCTGATAAAAACTTCATACTTATGTTATTAAAATATTGCCTGGCTTGGTACTTTATGGTAAATCTAAAAATTAGGCGACGTTAATAATAAAATTGGAAAAAAAATGATAACACATTAAAAAGCTTTATCTCTTTGAGTTAATATACAGTTTATAATGTTCAGAAGTTCGCTATTTCTTCCTCTGTAAAGGCTTTACTTTCAATCCTATCTGACACTTAACTCTGCAGAAAAGACAATAACACTGGTTTCGCTGATAAAGCTAATGAGAAACCAACCCAGGTTAAACCTTACTCCATACTGGATTGAAGGACTTACTTCATACTCGACCGAGGGACTTACTCCATACTGGACCGAGGGACTTACTACATACTGGACTGTGGGACTTACCCCATACTGGACCGAGGGACTTACTCCATACTGGACCGAGGGACTTACTACATACTGGACTGTGGGACTTACCCCATACTGGACCGAGGGACTTGCACCATACTGGACCTTGAGACTTACTCCATACTGGACCGAGGGACTTACTCCATACTGGACCGAGGGACTTGCACCATACTGGACTGTGGGATTTACCCCATACTGGACCGAGGGACTTACTCCATACTGGACCGAGGGACTTGCACCATACTGGACTGTGGGACTTACCCTATACTGGATCGAGGGACTTGCACCATACTGGACCTTGAGACTTACTCCATACTGGACCGAGGGACTTACCCCATACTGGACCGAGGGACTTACTCCATAATGGACTGAAGGACTTACTTCATACTGGACCGAGGGACTTGCTACATACTGGACCGGGGGACTTACCCCATACTGGACCGAGGGACTTGCACCATACTGGACTGTGGGACTTACCCCATACTGGACCGAGGGACTTACTCCATACTGGACCGAGGGACTTGCACCATACTGGACTGTGGGACTTACCCCATACTGGACCGAGGGACTTACTACATACTAGACTCAGGGACTTACTCCATACAGGACCGAGGGACTTACTGCATACAGGACCGGGGGACTTACTCCATACTGGACCGAGGGACTTGCACCATACTGGACTGTGGGACTTGCACCATACTGGACTATGGGACTTACCCCATACTGGACCGAGGGACTTGCACCATACTGGACTGTGGGACTTACCCCATACTGGACCGAGGGACTTACTCCATACTGGACCGAGGGACTTACTCCTTACTGGACCATGGAACTTACATGATAAATAACATTCGACAAAATTATTTTACAATCATTTTTAATAGATTGATATTGATCACTTAATGTCAATGAGCGCCATCTGGGGTGACAATTATAATATATGTCCCATTATAGTAATTTGACGTTTAATCAAAGCACGTCAGAAATAGAACAGAGAAACACGAACACGTGTATACGATATACATGCAATGTAGTACATAGTATATGATACATCAATAGTACACGTGTCAGTGTTACACGTGATAAACGATACACGTACAATACACGCATCAGTGTTACACGTTATATACTTAACACGAACAGTACACGCGTCAGTGTAACAGGTTATATACTTAACACGAACAGTACACGCATCAGTGTAACAGGTAATCTACGATGCACGGACAATACACGTTTCAGTGTTACACGTGATAAACGGTATACGGACAATACACGTTTCAGTGTTACACGTGATAAACGATACACGGACAATACACGTTTCAGTGTTACACGTGATAAACGGTACACGGACAATACACGTTTTCAGTGTTACACGTGATAAACGGTACACGGACAATACACGTTTCAGTGTTACACGTGATAAACGGTACACGGACAATACACGTTTCAGTGTTACACGTGATAAACGGTACACGGACAGTACACGTATCAGTGTTATACGTGATAAACGATTCACGGAAAGTACACGTTTCAGTGTTACATGTGATAAACGATACACGGACAATACACGTATCTGTGTAAGACATGATATTCGAACAATATGCATGTCAGTGTAACAATTGATGTATCATACACGTACATTACATGTGACAGTGTAACGTGATATATGAACAGGGCACAATATATACACTCTAAATGTCTGGCATGGTACCGGTGTTAATTCATGAACATTACACGTGCTCCAGTGTAAATCACGCCTACCTTACACGCGTTCATTTTCACATACCTATGTTGTTACTATTGTTTCAGTGTAATTCATACATTCATTTTAAACACATCAGTGTTGCTTATATACATTATACACACAAGTGTTGTACAATTTACATGTTACGATGTAACACACACTTAATGCACACCAATACAAACAAATATGTTCCAGTGTAATATTTGTGAACTACACGTACTCCTTTTTTTCTGTGTGAAGAGCAAGAGCCATTATGAGCCGGATTCTCCTTGTTGTAGCAGCTGGCTACTTCACTGAACAACATACGGAAGGTCCATCGCATGTCATTCAGAGCGATTCAGCAATAATACAGACAGGTCCCTTTCTCGCCGTTCAGTGAAACAATTGTCTCCGGTAGGTAGCGTCAGACCACACACCTCGAACTTCCGCCCTTGTTTACGAAGGTTAACGCCCTACCCTACGGTTAGCGCGATCCCACGTATTCCAGTCAACATACAATATTATTTAGATATCAACATTTCAACAACTTGGAATGATTTTCGATCAATAAAAAATACAAATAATTGTATTCATCAGTTATTCCGCTGTATTCTAAATACTTCCTGTGTGTCGAATAGATAGATTTTTTAAAACGTTGTACACATACATACATCTTCTCTACTTTAATTATATATATTTATAGAATCTTTTATTATCACTATACAATATTCAAGGGGTAAATAATCAATTCAATTAGCAAGACCATCCTTATAATTATTACTGTTATCAATATGTCCTAAATTCAGGTTTTCGTTAAAGAAATTAATATCACCTTAATGCTTTGCTTTTTCCAGGTCTTATGTTGTAAAAGGCACGAGAAGAAGCGTGTAAAAAACAATTATTACAATGCGGCCATTGTCTACGAATAACAAATTATTATAGTAATATTTAATTCGAATATAAACTTGCGAATTTTAGATTTTAAGTTTTACTCAAAACCGTTAAATATGAGAAGTTAAATAAAGAATAACGTTCGAATCAATTGGACAACCAAGATAAGACAACAGGTGAATGCTTGTGTACCATACTTCGCACTTAGACAACATATGACATAGACATCTTCACGTGTTCTGTGACGTAATAAAATCTACCTCAATAACAACCAACATCATTGATATAAATTATAAAACTTTTTCACGTACATGATAAATAAGACATAATGTTCACAGTATTTCTGGTGTGGCAACAAAATGTTTACGAAGAAATATTCCTCAACGAGTTGTCGTGTACTCTTCTGCATTTACTAGCAGAATTTAGGGTCGTCAATTCTAATCCACTAAAATTCTCCACAAATTAGCAGTATCCCCTTACCTTATTCACGGAGTACTCTACATGAGCTGATCAATATCTCAGACTGGCTAAACAACCCCGCTGATACTTTACACACACAGTTTGAAAAAACTTTCTATCTAATCTTCTGAGTTTCCTCTACAAGCTAACCGCTATTTACACCCGCCGTTCATTAGCTTGGACTAACTAAGTCCCATATGTCAGACTGTTTTTGTTAAGGCTAAGCCTGCTATGATGTAGAAATATTTTGGCAGCATTCGTCAACTTGCCCTCCTTAACAACCTTTGCCTAGTTTTAATGATGTTTTCTCACCTCTTTAAGATAGATTGCACGAGAATGCAAATAATTAAAAAATAGTCTAGTCAGCTTGAGGAAAACCATATAATTTCGCGGGGCTTAAGTTTCGTGTTTTGTCAAGAAAAAAAACACATTTACTATTTCGTAGAGTGGTTGTTTCCGTGTATAAATGTAGGTCTATAAATCTGCTTTATACACGATACTCCTGGACATGTCAATTCATGGATGGATGACTACTTCTCACAAAATCTGCGAAAATAAACCCACTTCGAAAATCACCGATTTTACCGTATATAATATTATAATTGTTTACATCGCCCTTTACCCTTTATACTTCAGACATTTTGAAAATTTAGGAACACATGAGGTCAGATATCTTGCCTATTACGCCCGGATACATTTGTTTTACTGTGCTAAGGTCTGGACAGGTTTCACTTGGTATACATCACCGGTATAAAATCATATGCATTGTAAAATAATAATTTAGCAGAGGTAGATAGTGTTTTAGAAAGCCAAGAAACTATATTGATATATATATATATGGATTTCTTAGAGTATTTTACAAAAATACCAACAAATTAAGTAAATCAACAGAATCTAAAAAGTGTTTTAAATCTTAATGAATCATAACAATTGTATTACTAAGTATATTTAACTTTGCGTATGGTTTTTTTATTTTAACCACAGAGAAATATAAACAGGACGGTGCAACGTTAAACGGAAAGCGTCACACAACGTATTGTTTTGTCATAACTCTTTCTTCATTGTCAGGATTAATATTTTCCTGGAGTCTATTTGAATGTAAAGTATCATCGACATCTGATTTCACTTTCGCTTCCGGGTCGTTATCGTTTTCAAATGAACACATTCGAGTCCTTTCTCCGTCCAACAAACGCATATTAGATTGTTCACCATCCTGAGAACAAATCTTGTAATTTTCGCCGTTTTGACCAAACATAAACCGTTTTGGGCTATTAGGTTTTGATGAACAATGAGATGCCTTACTAGGGGAGTTGGAATCGAGGCATTCGATGAGAGTCGCTTTCCGAATCGTCACTTCCGGTGAAAACTGTTTTTTGCTTCCTCCTCGCAGTGAACTTTGTTTCAGCTTTCGTGAGGTATCATTACATAGCCGTTTGTTAAATGTGTAAAATCTAAGGAACAGCTCCTTCCGAAAGAGAAGATATACCCATGGGTCAAGGATTTGGTTAAATGAGGCTAGTCTAATGACCAGAAGGTCATCTTTCTCGGTCCCAATATGTCCAGCCACTTGAATCAGGAGGACTCGGACCTGTAACGAGATAAATGTATAATAACGTAATATCTATTACATTCGAAGCAATATAAGAAAGAAAGGGTGCAGGATTTTTGTAAGATCTTTATGTTGCATTAGTTGTTTCAAATAAAACGTTTTTCCAAAGAAATGGCTGATTAAGGTTACCTCTGACCCCATCACCATTAATGGCTGATTGTATTATGTAATTAGACATCTGTTAATTAAATGACTGACATCTCAACAAATCCAGCCTACACGTAATTCCATATGTCAGGACACTCAATGTCTTCAATATGATATCTACCATATCAGATTTCCGCCATAAACTTCCTCGCTATTTCCATGTAAAAACAATGACATCAAACTTTCGTTACGTCGAACTCCGGTAGAAAACGGGCAACTATTTTACACTTTATGTTTCGTTTTCTGTCAGTCTTATATCTTATCATCAGAGAGCGAGGTCGTGTGTGTAATTATAATAAAAAACAATCTTTCCCACGAGGATATTCAACTGTACAATGTAGATTCATATAACGATCCTTTTTCAACCTTCTTTTGATGGACTGGGATTTGGGATATTTATTTCGTTAACGGTAACAGATGTTTTAGATAAACTAAACCCCAAGTCTTTGAAGATCACTTTGTTTGTGTCTGTTGTTGTCTTATTCCAATGTTGTATATCATTTCAGCTATTTACACGTGATCCGAAGATGTATTTTAATTCAATTTCACTATTACCAAACTCTTTGAAGAGCTCTTATCCTCATCTAATAACTGCACATAGCCAACACTAATACTTCCATTTCACATCCCTGTATTAAACCAAGAAAACTTTATTGTGGCCAGTTGTTTGACATATGCTCTTGATATTAAGTAAAACAAAAACAAAACAAAAATAAGAAGCATAAAAAAACCAATTTTTTCCCTATATTTCGTAACTTTCTACATAATATTGCGTACGAAGTACATTGTATGAAAACCGGCAACATTACAAAGGCATTACGGGAATGTTTTGTTGATCTGAGTGGATCCAATGGAAATGAGACAAAATATGGCCACATATAAAACAGGTTATCAAATGTCATAGCCACTATAAATTTGACATCAATGAGATCTGATCGAAATGTGATGGTTTGCTCTGTTTGTAGCGTGAATGTTCTGAATGCTTTACAATAGGGAGTGTTATTCATTCGAGTAAATAATGAATTGTTAATATTCAATTTAATATCTGCTGGCTCGTTTTTAGTAACACGTAAACAACTTGATGGAAAGTAATGTTTTACTTCCCATCTCACATTCTGATTTTTATTTGCTTGCTTGATGCTTTGTTCTTTTATTTTTATTTTTTTGTGTTTTGTTTGCGTGTTCATTTATCTATCTATTATTTTTATTTGTTTTGTTTTTCTATTTCATTTTATCTTTTTATTTATTTACTTATTTTTGTATAAAATTGTCTTTTGTAATAAAATCAAAACACTATCTCTTTAAAAAAAAAACGATTCGGGTGTTTACGATACACTCAATTTTTGGAGGAAAATCGAAAGAGTCTCCTATTCCATTACTTGCAGTATCATTTACGTGGCGGATGTCGTCGACGAAGCAGAAGACGCTTACTCTTCCGGAACACCTGGTCCTATCCTTCTTGTAATTCTTCAGAAGTCTACATGTAAATCTTTCTTTTGATCATATTTTGTCCAAGTCTTTTTGAATTTGTGTTTGGATTATGATTATGTTGACATGTCGGTATTTCCATTCACTATCTAAGTTAACATCGAAATTGAATATTTTTCTCTGTTTTTGAAAATGCAAAATGTAGCGTGTCATAGACACGTCAATAAAACAAACGAATCGATTGATTTTATGTAAATATCAATTCGATAAAATTGTTAATTTTATTAAATTACAGTCGGTGGTTACACTTGGATGTATGGATGCCTTGACGGAAAGATGAACAAGCTCTTCACATCTATATTAATTCAGTGTGTATTTACATATATGTATTTACATGTATGTACAATTAAATTATGTCCTGTTCCTGTTTATCATAGTCATATTTAATATAAACTTCTCAGAAGTCGAAATTATAATCTTACGTCGCCTAGGACCATTGAGTCCATTGAGTCAGGAGGAGGGGTCTGCAGTCAAATATTATTGTTGTTCAATTTCTTGATCTTACATGATTTTATCTATTTATGTATTTTCAATCATATTTTATATATTAATTATAACATAGGGACTGGTCAATAAGATTATTCATTTTAAGAATTTAAATTCAGGAAGACTTAATAGATCTCCCCATAATGCATTGCAACATGTATCTATATGTAATACCTCCCCTGCCTCGTTTGACACGATTGTTGTAGAATATTGCACTAAATCTCTGTTCATCACCGAAACGGTTCAATTCCCCGTGTATTTGTTTGTTCTTTGTGCTTTTAATTGGTTGGGTGTATTGCTAAGACGGAGTCGCCCTGTACTAACTGGTCGATATTTCACTGAACAATATACGGGAGGCAATCGTATGCCTTCCAGAGCTATCAGAATAGGGTGTCTTGCCAAAACACATTACCATGTCAGCACAGCTCGGACTGTTTTTCGGCTTCCTTAGAAACATAAGTCGCCACGGTTAGGAAGGATTAAACTACGTCCCTTGTGGTCTGCAACTGAGGACTCGTAGGATAAAACTCTACTGAATGTGTTATCTCGCCCTTTATGATCACATATTATTGTACATTTATCACTAAATTCCCATAATGCATTGCTACACGCCACTTCCCTGCCTCGTTAGAGACGATTGTTTTGGACCCGTGAGAACGCGGCCCGCCTCTGCAGGTCACAGTAGTGCTCTAAATCTCTGTTCATTACCAGCATGGTATTTAATTCTTTTGGTTATGAATCACAGTGACCAAATAGATAAGAGGGTATTAAGGTCTAGATAAAATCACAAGAGGATAGATAATTTTGATTTCCATAGGATTATAGTCCAGCCCAAAAACTCGTTCTATATCTTCTCGTTCACTACGTACGTAAGTGCTAGTACGCTTCATACTCGTCTTTTGTTCGTGAAGTCTATATGTAAAGTTATCATATTTTGTGCAATGTCAGAAATTATCATAAATAATTTCAACCTAGTAACTTTTAAGCTATTTTCTACAGGTACGTTATGAAATGCAGGTCGCCAGAATAACAGAGAATTTCCAAATAATTACATTAAAACTACGAACAATAAATTGAAAGAGTAAACTGTTTAGTTCTGAACAAGACTCCAGTACTAACAGATGTGTAACTTTCATCATTAGACAAGTATTACTTTCGTGACATAAATTCAAGAAATAATGGCTAATTGACGACAAATTATGTTATGGATTCCTATCTAACCACAGCGTCCATTAACAGTTCCAGTGAAAGTGACATCCGTGGAGATATTAGATATATTTGGTAGCGATAGTCCGAACAAAAATGTATAGATTGAGACGATGATCAGTAAACATCCATTTGCGATATCAGTTAATTTTATGACAACGGAACCATGAAATCAAACGCTGAACGAGTGCCGTTTGATCAATGTGCTGGTGAAAGTTTGATTGATTTAATAGACTATGGAAGAGATGAGCCTTAAATTGATACGTTGTCTCTCGCGAGATAACATGTTAATATTTTATACCCAGTGATAGTATTTTATTTAGATTTATATCTGTTCTATTGTAAATACGGAATATCCAGTCCGGAATTTGATTTCATCTGTTATACGGATAAAGTGATGACCTTGTGTCGCCTTTGTTTGACATAGAATATAAAGGTTTGATGAAACGGCTCCATTTGTGATCAAATTCATAGCATGAGAAGTAGACCGATGTCAACTCTTAACAAATTAATTCAAAGCGTTTTAAACCGTGAATCGCCCATTAATGGTTTTATCATTCTCAATTGATCAGATTTCTTTTGCTTTTAATACGTCAACGCTCGTGGAGTGCCCGGATGCCCTTCGTATTTGCATTGAGCATACCGATACAATTTGATAGTAATCTTATTAAATCAACTGTTTACGTGGGATTTAACAGATAGTATTTATTTATTTATTTATTTATTTGTATGAGTTAAAATTATAAAAAAAAAGTAGGGCATGGTATGAACAACATGGAAATGAGAATAAGACCAGGTGTTCCAGAATAGTAAGTGTCTTCTGCTTCATCAAAAACAGCATCCGCCAAGTCACTCTTGGTCAATTGAATTAATGTCATGTTCTCAAATGAGAACCCGGGTAATGACACCGGAACCACAAGTCATTCTAACAAGCATCTAACACATCTAACTTCACATCGATAGCGATCATAAGATCTTGTCAGCGTTTTCATCAGTGTGTAATATCTGCCAAACATTAGCGTTGAAAGTTCGACTTATTATTTTACTGATTGCAGACGAATCGTACATATACATGTAAAAATGCTTACTTAAGCTTATTTTTTTTGAAGGAGGCGAGCACAATTTATCTTACACCAAGCGGATCTCAAGAAATAACAAAGTACACATTTTCCTGTCTGTGACCATTCGTGTGTTCTCAGTATTCCGCCGCTCCGCCAGTAACTAGTAGATTAAACACGTACAATGAAAGTCGCTGATACTTTCTGAGTCAGGATCACCGCTACTGGAAGATTGATTTATTGCAGGTGATATTAACTTATATAAAAATATGTGTGACATTTTTGTCTGAGAACCGAATACTTAAACAACTCTCTCTTCTATCAGTGTAATATTTGTGCCTCTGGACAACCTGTGCTTACACTTTTTGATCTGGTAAATGCCCTGGCATGACGACGGCAGGACGATGGCAGTTTCTACTTCTGGATAGTAGCATTCCTTCTTCCCGAATTCCACTGTTGTTAAATTTTTATATTATTTATATTATTATTTTTAAATATTTCATTTCAATAATTCGATTTCCGTAACAGATGGCGACAGCTAGCCGAAAAAAAGCTTACCATGTTTTCGGGGAATATGTGCTAGTATGTCTAGAGTGGTTTTCTAGTAGCGAACCTACCCCACTAAGCAACATACGGAAGGCCCGTCGCATCTCGTCAAGAACACTTGGTTTCCTCAGAAACACAAAACTGCACGGGTAAAGCGTGTACAGCCACGCACCTCGAACCTCACCTGATCCTATGTAGGTATACACTCGTACCTCACCTGATCCTATGTAGGTATACACTCGTACCTCACCTGATCCTATGTAGGTATACACTCGTACCTCACCTGATGCTATGTAGGTATACACTCGTACCTCACCTGATGTTATGTAGGTATACACTCGTACCTCACCTGATGTTATGTAGGTATACACTCGTACCTCACCTGATGTTATATAGGTATACACTCATACCTCACCTGATCCTATGTAGGTATACACTCGTACCTCACCTGGTCCTATGTAGGTATAAACTCGTACCTCACCTGATGTTATGTAGGTATACACTTGTACCTCACCTGATGCTATGTAGGTATACACTCGTACCTCACCTGATCATATGCAGGTATAAACTCGTACCTCACCTGATGTTATGTAGACATACACTCGTACCTCACCTGATGTTATGTAGACATACATTCGTACCTCACCTGATCCTATGTAAGTATACACTTGTACCTCACCTGATCCTATGTAGGTATACACTCGTACCTCACCTGATCCTTTGTAGGTATACACTCGTACCTCACCTGATGTTATGTAGGTATACACTCGTACCTCACCTGATCCTTTGTAGGTATACACTCGTACCTCACCTGATGTTATGTAGACATACACTAGTACCTCACCTGATCCTATGTAGGTATACACTCGTACCTCACCTGATCCTATGTAGGTATACACTCATACCTCACCTGATCCTATGTAGGTATACACTCGTACCTCACCTGGTCCTATGTAGGTATACACTCGTACCTCACCTGATAATATGTAGGTATACACTCGTACTCCACCTGATGTTATGTAGGTTTACACTCGTACCTCACCTGATCCTATGTAGGTATACACTCGTACCTCACCTGATGTTATATAGGTATACACTCGTACATCACCTGATGTTATGTAGGTATACACTCGTACCTCACCAGATCCTATGTAGGTATACACTCGTACCTCACCTGATCCTATGTAGGTATACACTCGTACCTCACCTGATCCTATGTAGGTATACACTCGTACCTCACCTGATCCTATGTAGGTATACACTCGTACCTCACCTGATCCTTTGTAGGTATACACTCGTACCTCACCAGATGTTATGTAGGTATACACTCGTACCTCACCTGGTCCTTTGTAGGTATACACTCGTACCTCACCTGATGTTATGTAGGTATACCCTCGTACCTCACCAGATCCTATGTAGGTATACACTCGTACCTCACCTGATCCTATGTAGGTATACACTCGTACCTCACCTGATCCTATGTAGGTATACACTCGTACCTCACCTGATAATATGTAGGTATACACTCGTACCTCACCTGATAATATGTAGGTATACACTCGTACCTCACCTGATCCTATGTAGGTATACACTCGTATCTCACCTGATAATATGTAGGTATACACTCGTACCTCACCTGATAATATGTAGGTATACACTCGTACCTCACCTGATGTTATGTAGGTATACACTCGTACCTCACCTGATCCTATGTAGGTATACACTCGTACCTCACCTGATGTTATGTAGGTATACACTCGTACCTCACCTGATGCTATGTAGGTATACACTGGTACCTCACCTGATCCTATGTAGGTATACACTCGAATCGACTGAACTAACACGATCCACAAAGTCAATATTAATTAGGTTTCGGAAACGTTTCTTGGTTTTATATGCATTTATTTACGTGACTGATACGGAACCCGAACGGATCCCTAAGGAAAGAGCCTTTGGTTAGTATCATAAAATGATACTGTAGCAATAGTATGTAGTCATGAAAAACTTTACTTAAACCCTCATGGGAATACACCTTAATACGGTCAGAGATGACGTCATTATTGTCCCTGTTTGTACCAGACGCGGCGACAAAAGGATCTTAATTGTTAAAAAAATCATTGCGAACTCTCGCAAGAATTTTAAAATCAACAAAAATGTAACGATCACTTATTTTGATTATTATCCACATGTATATAAAAAAATGACAAACACTCCCTGGTAAAACTATTGAATAAGGGACATTCACTTTATAATAGTAAAACTAGTTATACACACTTTGGATCTGACGAGAAATAAATAAAAGTAGCTAGGTCCGTAATATGATGAATAGTAAGTATTATACATTTAAAGCGGTTTATTTCCATATAACTTTTACGGGCCTGTTCGCCGTTTGTTCAAGTCTTTGTTTTTATGTCAATATTTGTAAATTTTGTACATATTTTGGAGGAGAGAGTATTGATGATAATATGATAAATTGCGCCTTTTTCCCCTGTCATGGTTGTTGGCAAATAAATAAGTTTGAACATTACATCAGAAACATATGTTACCTTACTTTGAAAACACTTGAAATACGTGCGACATAATTTGTCATTCTTGCACATATACGGATGATATATGTTGTTTATGTATTTAATATGAAGCCTGAAGGCCATGACCTGGTCCGTGTCATTAAGCTCCGTTAGCTTATATGTAACCAGAAATCCATTTTCAAATGTTAACTCTGTTAATTATTATAATTTCTTGTAACGTATAACTAGAAATAATTAATTTCAAATTTATGGAATCCGAAAGTGCCTTTACATAACCTAAATCAACATTAACTTCTACCTTTTTTTAAATTATTATGAAAACTGACAAGACTCTGATTTGTCTAGTTCCTGCTTTCATACTCCACATCGTCCATTCTGCTCGTGTCGTGTTGTATGTGTGTAGGACTGGTAGCTATTACAACCCCGACCAAGTATTTCTCAGCTATTTTGTGTAATTTTGTGCATGTGCGTGTTCTCTGACATCAAATAACGCATTCAACGGTTAACTGAAAAATAAAATGGTCTTCAATCCTTATAATGAATTGATCAATCAGTTATGTTAATCGTATAACTCGTAACATACAAGAAGGGAATGGCGACATGAAATTTATTATCCAAATTAATTTCAACCTGTTTGACCTTTTACGTATCTGACAGGAAAAATATATACATTGTAAGGATATTTCATCAATTCATATGTCTGTTATCAGATGTCTATTCGTAAAACCCGATATCTATTTGTGATATATCTGATGTACATTTGGTATTATTTCGGCCTTCAGCAATCATAGTGTGATGTTTTCTCCACGATGCTATAGAGGCCGGCTAGGGCCATTTTGTCGCATTCTCACTTTATCGCCGTCGCGTTGTCGCAATCTCGCTCTGTCGATTTTAGGTCGACAGAGCGAGATTGAGGGAGTGGAAGATGGCCAACATACAATAAGGAAGTACCTGCGGATATTCTGTCAATAAGTGACATTTCATCAGTGTATTGGACACATGTCTTCATGAACTTTTAACTGATATATAGATTTCACAAATTCAAAACTTCAAGACAGTCCGAATATTGTTCTTTTCCCTGCTTATATTTTATAGAAATATGTACTTTCTACCGTACTTACCATAAGCGGAGCCCAACAGAGTCCGAACACTGCCAGAATGCCAACCAGAAAGATAACCATTTGTATTTCACTGTCTAAGCATTTAATATTAGAGTAGGAATTTTGGACACTGGTCATCTGGCGCATTTTCCACACCGTTGCTATCACAATGATATTGAGGATGAAGATGGCGAGGATGACACCGATACCGATGAACGAATACAGATAGGCAAACATCTTCACGCGTAGTTCTTTCCCGCGAAAATCAAAGAAACACCACGTTCCTGGAAAGTGTAGCACATTTTCTCCAAGTCCTATCAATGGTAGACATGCCAACGAAAAAGCAACTCCCCAGAGGGCGCCAAGAATATATTTGACTTTGTGGTGAGTTATTTTGGCGCTATAGAAATACGGATGGGTCAAAGCGATGTATCGGTCCAGTGCCATGAAGCATACGATAAACAGTGTTGTAAATCCCGCGAAAATAAGCATGAATGAAGAATAATTGCAGAGACTTTGACCTCCGACCCACTTAAGATTATTAGCATAGATGACTAACGTGACAGGTGATGTACACATTGTTCCAAATAAGTCCGTCATTGCCAAACCACCGACCAAACGATAAAATACAGTTCTTTTGTGCTCTCTTGAAGAACATCCTAGGACCACCAGGGCCAAAATGTTCCCAAATACGCCAGCAGCAAACATAACCGCTGGAACGACTAAAGACACCATTGGTTTCTTCAAGGTCGATTCAAAATCCGTTCCGTTCTCTGCATCCTCATCCGACCCGTTGAGGAACGATCCGTTAATCAAGATCCCATCCGACTCTGACTGTCCGTACCTCGCCATGATTAAAGCTACAATAGAAATATTCCGTGTTAGATTGTGGTGTTTTTATATAACTGTATAACTGTTACATTATCCTATTATTTCTAATCCCTTAATCGTCTTCGAGTTTATCGTGACCAGACGTTACACATGTCCATGCGGGTTTGTTTGTCTCAGCTGTTAATATCACGTGATTATCTGGAGATTATATCACGGAAGTAAAATTTGTAGAGCAGAGCAATTTGATATTTAATAAACAAAAACAGGATGAAAAAATAAACATATGTTTATATAAATCTAACTTAAAATAACTAAATATAAATGTAATATTTCATTTAATATAGCGAAAATTACCTAGAATATATCAATAATTTTACATCTCTTATACATACAGGTATGGAATTTATTTTAGATTTTACAGCTGAATACAACTGGCGTAAGATTTCACTCACGTCGAAATGTAATATTTCATCTTTGTGATTTAAAAACAATGTTTCAGTAGACATGCATGAAACTTCGCTATATGATTTTAAATCTTGTCTCGTGTTTTATAGAACAAGACAGTTGTCCTCGTTTATCAAAGTTTTGACTCCATGTGATATCACAATGCAGCGTATTTATGACGTCATGAAGCTCGGTGACGTCATATTTGAAACAATGAAAATACATATGATGTAATTGATACCAGCAGCATTACGACCCCGTTAATCAGGACATGCTCATGGATCTGAGGAGAGAGTTTCAATAGATATAAGATAGCAGTGAACATACGATGTCGTAAGTAAACATCACTTGTCAATATGGATTTCCTCTACATTGAGATTGTGTTAGACCAGTTAATACTACAATATGTATGACAATTACATGACTGGTTATATTGCTTCAGAGAACAATATCATTATTATTTCATAAAATATGCAAATATGTTGCATAAGAACATCCGTTGCCAGATAAACAATACGCGGTCCTAACTTCCGGTCGGTGTGTATTGGGATCTGACCAGATTGGTCTGCAGGCGATTACAAATGACCAACACAGATGGTCATAACTAAGACCTGCCTGGAGTTATTCACTATCGGAATTCTACACAGTTGGTAGTACGTACATAATGCAGACCATGCTGATCACTTCTCAATTCTATTCGTTCACCGCAAAATTATGGACTTGATTTAAGGAAATTTCATTCTTGTCAAATATAATGCTTTATTGCTTCCTCCCCGTGTCAAAGAGGTTCTCCAATCTAACTGTCTAAAACACAAAACACAAAAATTTTAATCTGATCCAGATGTTAGATGCATGTGTATAATGGAGATTTTGTACTTTGTATGAACTTATCGTAAAAAGTCTTAAAGTAACATTTTAGAAGTCTCTTTAAAGAACAAAATGTGTGTGTGACAATATTCGTTTATGACAGGTGTCCTTGTAGACAAGTCTATTGTCCTGGAGCAATATAGTGAAGCATTACAACTGAAGCACAGCATGTGCACTGAATTACTTTTGAACATTGCACTACAATTGAAAGTGAATTTTAAAAAACGAGATGGTGTTTTTAGGACAAACCTATATATAGTGTTATATGTTATCACAACAATTATACTTCTTACATAAAAGATCGGATGGGACCACGTGTAGTCGCCAATAAAATAAGTGACATTATCAGAAAAAAATGGATTGGAACTTGGTAGAGCCATTTTACTTAATTCTTACCTCTTTCACAAACAAATATTTCTACCTCATGGAATCGTATGTTTAAAAAATTCATAAAATTAGTGATGTGATAGACATGTTAAACATATTGTAACTTATCTGGGCCCACTGAACCTGTAAGCAATTCACACCAATTTTATAATACAAACCTGCTTAGAAATAAACTCCAGTGTTCTAAATCCGGTATAATATCACGAACATGCAGTTGACAATATCCCAAAACCACACTGAAAGCATGTCAAGGTTAAAGGTTATCTGATACCTAACAACACACAGCAAGATTATCTCGTCTTAAATTTATAAATACTGCAATGATTGAGTCAATAGTTCACTGATACAGAATAAGTCTGTTGTCATTCTAGTGTTGTGACCGTCCTCAGTGTGACTATATATACCTGGATCACATGATACATGTTTAGTTTCACAATCAATTTCATTGGTAATATAGACATCGCTATACCGAGATAGCTACCCAGCCTCACTTAGCTCTACATTGCTGCAGCTACCGGAGCAATCATCGCGCAGCCGCAATTATTTCCTCCATTCACACTTCGACGAGCTATAAATACATTTTTGTATTTTACGTGCAGCGTATATATGCGCAATTACTTTTTTAAAAACTTGCAGGCACACAACAAATTTCTTATGATCAAAGCCCAATTTGTTTGTTTGATTTTACATAATTTTCACGAGGTAATTAATTGCAATGTAAGATGCAAAAGCAATGCCAAATAATACGCACGAGTCTATTACACGTTTGAGTTTTGTGAGCCACAAAAATATTACATGTAAAAGTTGGAATGATACTTATGGACTATCTAACACTTTTGAAAGGCATTCCACTTTAAAACCTTTATCTAGATTCAGTTTCATTTTGACGCTATCTTGCACGTCGTGTGACGTCGTATGAAACAAACGTTTAGATGGCGTTACATTTTTCACACTCTGAACATGTATAGACTTCAACATCACTTGACAAAATATGTGAATATTTACATATGACTGATTAAAACTGGTAATTTGGATCATGGTAAAAGCGCATAGTGTGGGGTTTTTTTTTCATGTGTATTCAATCTGACGGGAACGTTATTGGTTCTGCTTACTTTAAGTCGTGCCATGGAAAAAGATCAGATCCCTTTGAAATGAAAGTTGATCAGTTTTACCTCGAATAAGAATTCAGAAATATGAAATAAATCCCCAAATTTTAATTCCAAAAACCGTAATTACAACTACTTAACGCACCGTTTCAGACTATCGTTTACCGGTGAGTTAAAGTTTACATAAGTGCATTTTTGTTTTTATCGGATGTAGTATTCACGGTTTTTTTAAAAATAGTTGCCCAATGTAAGTGTTTCCTGCTCCCTAACATATCTCATCGCTGTGCATGCCTGTACTGTGTAATATGTCAACCCCTCAAATCCGCTTCCTTTGGGGAAACTTAAAATCCACTGCTTCGCCAAAATCCTAATGATTCATACAAACTCAATTACTCGATCCCTAGTGCCCGTCTATCTCGTTCGCCTGAACCTCCCTGGAAACCGTTTGAAATCAATACATGACAGTTATACAGCTAGACCAATAGCTATTTGAATATACACATGAAAACAAAAGATAAACTGGAGGGACACCGGAGGCTATTGTCAAACGAACTCGGATCATAATTTATAATTGATCATATGTCTTTATTAAATATGAATATCAAATATAATTATAAATTTTAATATGGAAAGTTTTATACTAAAATTATAAATTTAAATACATTTTAATAATTTAAGCCTATACTCTTTATAATCAGAATGGAACACAAATCAGCGAAAATCATTTCCGGTTTATATTACAGAAAATTTCAGATCGATTTGATTTTGAATAATATTTTGTAAGTAGCACTTACAACCCAACTTCACTTCTGGAGCTCACTTACTTTAAAAGTACTAAAATGTCTTGAACAAGTAAGAATTTCGGGGCTGTTGAGTTAATGTCAAGGTCACCATTATTATTTTCAGAAAATCATTTTCAGCGCTCTAGCGGCTTAGTTCCTCACAGGGGTTTGATATATTAGCAATACTCGGTATGCTTGTTTATGTTGACAGACGTGTTGTCATGAAGGGCTGGGATTGTAGGGCTCATTATTGCTATGGCTGGGTTGTTGTTATTGTTAGACTACTGATGTTGTAGTTTTTATGTTGTATTGTTTGATGTGGTGCTAAGGTAAGGGTTTAGTCCAGGATCATTTGTACTGTTGGTTTAGGGTCTGTTGGTGCTAAAGGAGTATTCACACTGTTGAATTGTCGGTTGTAGGTTATTAGTACTGTCCGGTTGTCGGTACTGTTGGGTTATTGGTACTGTATGGTTGTCGGTACTGTAGGGTTATTAGTACTGTCCGGTTGTAGGTACTGTAGGGTTATTAGTGCTGTCCGGTTGTAGGTACTGTAGGGTTATTAGTACTGTCCGGTTGTCGGTACTGTAGGGTTATTAGTACTGTCCGGTTGTAGGTACTGTAGGGTTATTAGTGCTGTCCGGTTGTCGGTACTGTTGGGTTATTAGTACTGTACGGTTGGCGGTACTGTAGGGTTATTAGTACTGTCCGGTTGTCGGTACTGTTGGGTTATTAGTACTGTCCGGTTGTCGGTACTGAAGAGTTGTTAGTACTGTCCGGTTGTCGATACTGTAGGGTTATTAGTACTGTCCGGTTGTCGGTACTGTAGGATTATTAGTATTGTCCGGTTGTCGGTACCGTAGGGTTATTAGTACTGTCCGGTTGTCGTTACTGTAGGGTTATTAGTATTGTCCGGTTGTCGGTACTGTAGGGTTATTAGTACTGTCCGGTTGTCGGTACTGTTGGGTTATTAGTACTCTCCGGTTGTCGGTACTGTTGGGTTATTAGTACTCTCCGGTTGTCGGTACTGTAGGGTTATTAGTATTGTCCGGTTGTCGGTACCGTAGGGTTATTAGTACTGTCCGGTTGTCGGTACTGTAGGGTTATTAGTACTGTCCGGTTGTGGGTACTGTTGGGTTATTAGTACTCTTCGGTTGTCGGTACTGTAGGGTTATTAGTATTGTCCGGTTGTCGGTACCGTAGGGTTATTAGTACTGTCCGGTTGTCGGTACTGTAAGGTTAATAGTACTATTGGGTTGTCTGTACTGTAGCGTTATGAACATATCCGGTAGCCGACGCTGTAAAGCTAATAGCGCTGTTGGGTTGTCCGGTACCATGGGCTTATAAGTATAGTTGGATTAGTGAAGGAAATGTTGGGTTCAGTCGTCAAGAGATCTGATGTACACGTACCATAATGTTAATTATTTCCTGATTTCGTTTACTGCTTATAGAGCTGTCTAAAACTATGGAAAATTATCAAATAACGTAAGGGACAAATTTATTGTCAATGTTTTTAATTTGTTATCTTTTAGTGTTAACTTCTATCAGACCATATTATCTGTGATGGGCATTTGTTATCCTGAAGGGTATATCAGAGGGGTTATCAACACTGTTTTACGAAGGTTATTTACAGTTGGGTTATATATGATAAACGGTCAATAACTATTACACTGGTCACTTACTACAAAAGTTATTTACTTTAAAGGCGAAGGCTTATTTTCTGTGAAAGGTCAATTACTATGAAAGGCTATCAATTATGAGGGTCAAGGGTCATTTTCTATGAAGGGTTATTAACTATGAAGTCAAAGGGTCATTGCAAATGATCATTCATTAACAACGACCATTTACAAGTAGGAAGGCCAAGGGATGTTTACAATGGTGTCTACTTTGATATTTTTGTACTATTTTTAAGTTTCGGACAATATTTACAAGTGACGTTGAGAGTTATTTACCTGTACGATATTGTTTATTTGCCATGAAGGATAATTGAAGTTAAAGGAATATCGATGATAAAAAGTCGCTGAGGTCGGACCTTCTGTGTTACAGGTTACAGTACATTTGCTAGCCTGCTTTTGAAATATTTTGGAAGGGCACGTGTCGATGCAAATGTGGAATTTACCACCAAGTGAAATTTAATATATTTACCAGAAACATTAATCAGATATCGCTATCGACATCATACACGTCAATCAACGCACGTGCGTTTCTCGTTGATGCCTGAAACACAAGGCTATATAGCAAAGAAAGTTACACTTCCGAATATCCGTCTAATTTAATAGCTGGCTATTAATCGTCCCAGACTATAAATCATTGAAGCACCGTTAGTTCTTGAATTGATAAAATTTGTTGTTATTTATATATTGTATCTACCAGAATGCTAAAGGTATTTCTGCCTCTTCTTGAAAGCTGAGTACTCGTAGCTATCCGACATGACAAGGATGTCACGTTTAGAATTTTAGACTTGGAATCTTATATAGTTTTTAGTGGTGCACTGCAGCGCAAAAATCTAATGGACTTGTTCACATGGACGAACATTCCTTATTCAAGAGTTTCTGAAGTGTGCACATATTATTTGAATTATTACATAATGTCAATTTACAAAAACATATGCCGAAATATTTCGAGTTGTATATAGTTGAGTAGACCAACATTTTCACCTTAGTGCACTAATAGTACACACGGTAAAGACTAGAAGTTCGTGAGTGCACTTTACCAACACCAAGTTATCTGTCACAACATTCCAATATTCTTTACAATTACACAGAGTGTAGTGAGGATATGTAAGTCTTTTTCTAAACAAAAATCCTTACGAACTTGCACAGAATTGGTAAGATTGTGATATTTGTAAAAATCAAGGCATCCTAACTTACAATAGGTCGGTGATCACGAATTACCATATATTTTACTTAACCTTGCATACATAAGTAAGGGCTGACGAATGTTATCAAAGTCCATGCCAGTTGTATAAAATTTCGAAGGAAGGCTGCATATATTATAGGCTTGTCGTTGATGATCCACAGCTGCAAGAACTACATGTAGATTTAAAAAAAAATCTTTGACGGTTCTTAGCAATATGATCATGTCTAGGTTGTATGTAGCTGGAACTCTAGCAATAGTTGTGGCGTCAGGCACGCCATCTCCAGTGTATCGTAAAGAGTCTACCCATAATTACACAAAGTTTAATTTGTTAATGTGTCTATTTGTTATGTCAATCTCCGGTGACATCTCTTACGTCACACTTGACTGCGTCCGTGACAAAAGTACACACGGACCTATGACGTCACAGTCAGATATACGAGATATTGTGTATTAAACAGACAGGGGAGAACTGGTAATGGCGATTTACCTTCT